GCTATGTCTGCCGAGGAGAGGACGCATAGTAGCTATTGAGATGTTAAATTTCCTGACAGTTTCGTGTAAATGTTGCTGAAAAGTGGGTTTTTTGTCAAGTGTGACTCCGAGATTTCACTTGATCCGTCGACTGAATTTCAAAGAAGATGTCAAAGAAGATGGGATTAGGCGGAAGGAAGTGTGTTTGTCCTTTTCTGAAAATAATGGTTTTGGTTTTGTCAGTGTTAGCGGCAATTTTCCACAGCGTCATCCAGTTTTCAAGAAGCTCCGAATAGTTTTGTAGAAAAATTTGTATAGTATTGATGGTTGAAGATTGAGATAGGATAGCGGTATCGTCGGCAAATAAGGCGATAGTAATATGAGATTTTTTGGAATGTCTTGAGTATAAATATTGTAAAGAAAAGGAGAGAGAACGGAGCCTTGAGGGAACCTGCAGTAATATTTCTAGTAGTTGAGAGGGTATTTCCAACTTTGACAGCAAAAGTGCGATTTCTGAGGTAAGAGGCAATAAGTCGAATAAAGTGGTTCGGAAAATTGAACTGAAAGGTGATTTGTTTCTCTAACAATTCCGAAATCTGTTTATCAATTTCACGCTGCTCTGCGGGAGAGGGACGTCGCGACGCGCAATGAACTGGAAGTTGATCTGTCAGCACTATCCTCATTTTCCGGGCAGATGTTTTAATTATATTCGGCTTATAATTCTTCACTAAATGTAGTGTTTCATCTCGATGTACTTCGATATAATTTAAATCAATTTTCTCGTCATTATAACTATCACGAATACACATCCAGTAGTTTTCTGGTTGCAATTTTCTAATTTCGACTGTGCGTAATGTATGCTTTACGCATGCGCGCGTTAAAAGAAATGTTTAATAAAGTAAACAAATAAATATTAAGCTTTTTTTGTAAGTTTTGATAGCCTTTAGATCATAATTGCTCTTTATTTCATAAATTACGGTTTCATATTTTTAATTTTATAATTTCTGCATGCCATCTTACCAGATTTAAACTGATGATCTATAATCCGGAAATACCGATAATCCGGAATCGCCGAAGTCTAAACGAGTCCGGATTAAAGACTTTTGACTGTATTTCTAAACTTTTGAAATATTGTATATATAGTACACTCTGATGTACAAGACAGCTCTGTTCTGACAGGTAAAAATATTAGTTATTTAAAACTATATACGAATTCTTATATCCTTAGAATTTAATCTGTGAGAACTCATTTTACCCACTGTGTAGTTTAAAATATAGTCATATGCTGTTTTTTATTTATTTTAACTCTTAGAATTGCTCGGCAGTGAGACAAATCTGAAGTTATATGTAATTTTTTCGTATAACTGACATGTGTAAATAAAGAGCTTTGTGGTATTATGTCAGCAGAACTACCAATACAGACATAGCTGGAAAAATAAACAGATTGAAGATATCTGTAGGGTAGCCTGTAAGGATTATGTTAATTTTATTAACAGTTAAATTTCAAGTTTAAGTTCCTTTCCTGTCAAATTCTTAACTTCAACTTACTACTTCGTACTAGAACGTAGTTTCGAATCATTCTGAATACTTAATAAGGCGGAGCGGTATTTAAACCGCGAAATCTACTTACAGAGTTAGAGAGAATCAGAGTTTCTGATTTGCGCGCGTCTTCCTTTTGGCTACTCTCTCTCTCTCAAAGCTGTTATTACGCTCGGCCGTACTCAGGCCCTTGATAAGCTTCGTAGTCAAATAAAGTCAAGGAGCCAACTCGATTAGAATCTTGATAGCTTCGGCTATATTTCTTTAGTTAATATTAGTTTTAGTTTAATTTTGAGTCTCTTAAGTTCAAGCCCAAGTGTCGGCTTTGATTGTACACTCCAAGACGGAGTTTTGTTAAATCTTATTGGAATATTAAAGGGTTAATTACCCTTGCATCTTGTTGTTTCTTGTTACACGAACTTAAACGATTATTCGCTAACTAGTTCTTAAGCTTCGTCACTTTCTACAGTAACTGAGAAATACACTAGTGAGAATCTTACAAGCATTATTAGTCGAAACCACTGATATTTTGTGTTCTTCAATATGCCATGTTAGACATTATGTACTAGATCTTTGAATGCGGATTTTTCAAGTAAAGTATAAATTAGCTCTCAATGTGGCAAAATGTCGTACTCACACAGTGAAAATATTAGAGCAAGAAATACCAAAAAACGTCTAAAATTCAAACATAAAATGCACATTTTTTTTATTCCCGATAACTCTAATTTTCTCGATATCAATAAATTTAGCCTACGTATAAATCACTAGTATTAAGCAAATATTAAATATCATGAATTAAATAAAAGGCATAAGTCTTTTCAGTGTGTCCAAATTTAAGCGCGTTTTGAAGAAATGCTACAGTAATGCATATCATGGGATTTTAAAAGATCCCATAAGATAAATTTATATAAAATATTTCATAAATTAAATTATATTACAATTAAAGCAAGCATGTTATTCTTTATACCTAACTTTCGGTATTTATTAAGTTATATCCATTACATGAGTAATAGTAGTAGTAATATTAGAACTAGTAGCATTACAGGATAAGCAGCTAAGACCTTTAAGCGACAAAATAGTAATATTTCATAACAGTTTCCTCTCGTTCACCCAAGTTACTTGCTAAGCTCTTCAGGTCACGGAAGAAAATTTAGAATCCCTGCTGAGATATTCATCACAAACAATATCACCAAAAGTAATACATTTTATATAAGAAAGTTGGGGAAAAAACTCTGTATCTACTTTAAAATTTTGGCGACTTTATAAATGAGTAGCCGAATTTTGTCTCAGATATTTTTAAATAAATAAAAGTTAAATTTTGGTCTGCTGTGATTAAGTATTTGTATTAGAAAACTCGGTTAGTTTCCAAAAATGACGACATGGGTTAGATTTAGGTTGTTCAGTATGAGCCAAAATAAAAAATAAACTCTTATCTCAGGTGTCACAGTGTTCAGTTTTTCGTTTGTCTGAGACCTATTTTGAATCAGATCGAAATTCTCAAAGAATAAGGTACGAATTTTTCTCCTACGAAAGCAGTTACTTGCTATTTTATTTAGCAAAGCTTTAAATGCTTTCCAAAGTTTCACTCTAAATAATATCCCAAAAAAACTTTTATATAGCTCACGCAGTTTTAAAACGTGTACATGATACAAATTTAATTAATTGGTTGGCTGCGATATGTCGCAAATACGATAATTTCGCAAGAATAATATTTTATAGAATAAATTTCCTACCCAGATTCAGAAGCTATCCTATTCCTATTGTACTGCAAATTGTAATGGGCAATGTAACTCGGGCAATTTGTAATCTATTCATTTCATGCGTGATAGAAAGAATTCAAATTTCATAAACAATACCATTCAACAATGGTCGAAACTACTTAATGGGGCTTAATAAAAAGAAAAGAATGGAACATATTCATTTCTTCTTGAGAACGTCGCTATAATTATCTTTGTAACTCTTTTTTTATAGTATGGCATCCTAATTAATTTATTCATTTTAAAAACTCATGAGTCATTCTATAGTTAAATCTTTATGCCAGTACTTCTTTAAAAACTTAAAAAAGTAGCTACGCAGTTGAGATAAATTTATTGATGATATAATTGAATCCAAAAGCTATATGGAATTCCCTTATTTCAAATTCATTCATACTGAAAAATTTAAGCTAAAGGAAATTCGTTAATGCAGTTAAAAAATAACTATATTGTTACATGAATACAAATAAATATTCATCTGAATATAAAATAAAAAATTATTTTTTACGATATATTTAATTACGTATTGCTGAATATGATATGAAAGTTTAACGGATGAAGTTAAGAAATATCTCTGTAAAATGGTTTCCGTTATAGGGTATTCTTATCTTCTTATTGATTAATTACAAATGTTACTTTAATAAATTCTCAATCTCAAAGATCAAAAATTCCACTTTTTTGGTTTAATTTAAAATAATAGATATTTTATATTACTTAAATATATCAACAACTTAATTAATTATATTAAAAAACCTAATTTAATCACTATTTTAGGATCAAAATCTTCAATACTTATATTTGGAAAATTTATCTTTGTTATGCATACATCGTCAGCAAGAAACAATTCTGAAACGAGTTTGCATAAGTGCATCCCGATATGTGTCTGACTATTTCATGCTTTCTGGAAGTTATGTTTAAACATTTTAACCATATAAGTAATTATGTTTTAGCAATAAAGTCTGTTAATCGTTCAAGATATCCCAGAAGTCCGGCATGAAAGGAATAATAGCATACATTTTTATACATTAAAGTAATTGTGTTGCTACTTTCAGAGATCTTTGGAGATAAGTCGCTAAGTAAATGTTGAATATCTCTCTCAGAAAATAGACCTAACTACCCGTTTAAACTGTAAGTTAACTCATTGAAAAACACCGATTTACAACGAGAAGATTACATGTCGGCAGGACCTGGAACAAAGCATTAGTCACATTTATCATTAGACTGATCCAATCTCCATTGAATATATGTTACTGCAATTGCAATAACTGACTGAAAGTTTTTGTTTTAAATCAAAGGGATAATTTTAAATGCATTCTAAAATTTGCTATGATGCTTATCTTAGGGCACACTTGTATAAACAGGGCATTACTTCGGCATCACAGAAAAGTTTGTAGTATGCAATTCGTGACCAGTAATCATAGTTATTTAGTGGTCGTATATTACTTCTTGAAGTTTTTTGAAGTTTCACTTAGTATATGTTGTCTAAGATGAATCTAAACAGTGCATAACATGTAGCACATAATGGCACTGGAATGCAATTAACATGACGCTGTTGTTAAGATGTAATGGAATGTAAAAGTATGAATATTCTTTATATATTAACCAAAATATACTGGCTAACATATATAAAAAGGATTTTTCGAAATCAGTTAGTATTTGCTGAAAAGAAATGATCTGCAGGAATTACTCAAACTGAATTTGTATTTAAATGAACAAAAACAAACTTACCCTGAAATGGTGAAAGCTTAGATCTTATTGAGAAATAAATAAATATTTTGACTATGAGTACGAGGCTTTCACATTCACCAGGAGTTGTCAGGTAGGTGGAGAACTGGCACCTGGAGACATTCAGTCCGGTTGGGGAAGCACGGTCACAACCCGGAAATCCGTCCACCTTCTTCTATTTCACTACTGAACAACGTCAGGTCTACCAGAGCAGAGAACGACCCGGATAGTCCGAGGCGTTTGAATGCCGGACTGTTCTCCGAGGAGAAATAGTGATAATTTCGTTGGCGAGCTTGCCTGTGTCACATGACATCCTCTGCCGCTGAAAGAACAATATTTTAATTAGGGTCACAGTCACTGGTGGAAGTTTGTCTTCTATTACCACTGTCTTTCATTCTTTTTTCCACTACCTTTATCTAAGCTTTGTGTTCTTGTTAGTGACGTTTCCTATAGATGGCAACCTTGGCCTAGATAATCCAATTTCTAAATCATCCCTGACTTTCGCCGCCAAATTTGAAAGAATTGTACTGAACTTGTGGAATTTGAAAAAGACTTTTTTCCTCAAAAATAGTTATTAAGTAATTTCATATTTTTAATAGAATTTAGTACTTTTCAGTCTATTATTGCCACGAAATATTAAAATATTTGTTTTAAAGAATATCCATATTTTAGTGTGAAAGCGATTCACGAATCGACATGATTGCAATGACGAGTGTTTCCAGCAAGACAAATGAAATTCAAATTCATTTTAATAACATGCTAATGTTCTAAGTTCAGTGCTTGTTTTACTCCCTAAAGAATAATACATTAAATTATAATGCTTTCATTGGATATGAAGAATTATTTCAATTTAATTTTTCAATAATTTAATTTAATACATAATTTCCGAAAAATAGCAAATTGTCACAGATATTACGAAAGAAGTAGCAACATAATCAACATTCAAAACAGATAAATATATTTTACAGAAATCATGAACTACAAACGATAAATAAAACTAATTTCAAGTGAATTTATGTATGTCTTTCTTATGCTGCTTAACGCAATAACACAGAAGTTTCTTTAGGCAGAAATTTGGAACCATTTATTTTCAGTGTTGATTGGAAATTTTTTCAAACTTTAGTAGCAATTTAGTATAGGTAATTTCAAAATTTAATATTTAGTAGCGTATAAGAACGAAATAAAAAATACTAGACAAGAAGAACAGGACTGACACACTCTAATCACTAAATACGCGTGTAAATATTAATGTTTCCATAAATAGAACGTTTTCGTTGTTACTAAAATATAAAATGCTTTTAAAAACTATAAATATTATTATTTTAATTAGAACTCACTTTCTGTTTTATGAAAAATGAATAGCCGAAATTATTTGAAAATTGCTTGCTTATTTCATCTTCATTATTACATGTATTTCTAGAAGCTGTAAAGTTAGGTAAACTATAACACTAATGCTGGTTTTATAGAAAAATTATACTCACCTTCCATAAATTAATGCCAATCTATTGTTTGATTTTTCTCAGCTGTACTATTCAAATGCGTATGCTTTTCTCCCATGTATTTAAAGTTATATTAAGAAATATCATTTAAACAAATAAAAATGAAATAAAGTAGTTCATTAAATACTATTTAGTGTTAATATTATTTTAGTTATATGTAATATAACTGCGGGAAAATATTCAGACTTTGACAAGGAATTTATCAAAGTAGGATGCTTAGCGTGTTAACCGCGAAGTTAAAGATCTTTATTTTGGGAGCACTGAATTGCCTCGAATATATAAATCAATAAAATGTAATTTAAAAGAGTTTCTATCCGAAACTAAGCATGGCCCACTAGCGACTGAGCTGTAAAGTCCCTGATGACTGGTAGTTTAGTCGAGAGTTCGAATCCCGGCGAACGGGCTGGCTGCATGTGCATCTTCGTGGTTTTCCCCCTGTGTAACGTATATATAGGGCGCGGCAGCGTTCATAGTAGGATATTAAAAGCACACCATGGCAGTAACTGTAATTTATTTATTACCTCTTATGTCAATTAATAGTTAAAGGTATGCCATTTACTAATGTGTAAGTCATTGTACATTGCGTGGATTACTTTTTGAATATGATGCCCCCTCTGCACAACACATTCATCCAGGCGGCGTTGGAAGCTTGCCATAACTCGGCGTAACGTATTCCCTGGGACATTGCCGACGGCAGTTCGGATGCGATTCTTCAACTCAGGAATGGTGGTACAACGTGTTCGGAAAACTTCTTGCTTCAGTGCCCCTGAAGTCGGCATATGAAAGATCAGGCGCGAGGGGGCCAGAGAATGTCACCAAAACGGGAAATTATTCTACCTGGAAATGTCTATCGCAATGGTCTGTCCATCTGGAACTTTCCCATAACGTCCCAAGTTGAAATGTTGCCGAAATAGACGCTGGGTAGCAGTAGAGTAGTTATTCTTGAAATAACTTTCAACAGCGAAGGCACAATGCTGTGCACTCCAACGATACATATCACTGTCATACTCGAAATAGCAGCTCATTAGTACACGAATGCGGCACGAGCTAGCGCGCCTTCCTGCAGTACGTCATTGTGCTACGCAAGTCAAATTACGCTATGACGCTGCCGCACCCTATACTAGCTAATTTCATTAGACAGTCCTCTACGATTGCATAAATATTTTCTTAGGCAGACAGCCCTAGAGTGCTTTGCCTTAATCAATTAAACATAACCAATCTAAACTATGCACATATTTTGAAGTTTTCAGTATCCCTCGATATAAATATAAGTTAAGAAGCAAAATTTCAGAAACATTTGGAGTTTAAGAGACAGGAATTGTTGAAAATATGCTGTGCTTTTAACTCAGGTGAAACATGGGATTTCCCAAACCAATCTCACTTAAATCAAGCTCAAGAAAAATTATCTTTTATTGCTTTTAGTTCGTACGCCATATACTATATAGATATTAAGCGATAGGGAACCAGCAAGGGTTGAAAATAAATCGTATCCTTGTCGTGTTGTTTAATGTGGATCATTGAAATACCGATTTTGCATGCTAATTGTTGCGCTACATGAGAAGTATGCTTTCAACTATAATATTTACAGTGCAATTAAAATTAGAGTATTCTTAATCGTTGTGTTTGTAATAGTATCTATAAAATGTAGGGGTAATAAATATGTAGAGCTCTAAACCATTTTGCTGTCAGATAAACATTAATTAAAAAAATTCTTTAACACAAAGTAATTAAGTAGAGATACAATCAAGATTCAAAAAGATTTATCTATTCCATTATTCCATTTCTACTGCACAAATTATTTAAATGGTTGGAACTACTACAGAAAATAATACATTTCTAAATGATCATTTTACTGAACTAAAAATGCAAGCTGTTCTACTTTGTATGAATAAGAATTTGAAAGAAAAATTTTTTACGGTTATATAACTATTATTTTAGACTTCCTGAAGAAATCCTGAAATGCAGGAAATTTTATCTTCATCTGAAGTCGATTGTGTTTTTTAAATCATTACTTCCTGGTTTCATGGTTTCTGTAGAGCTTCAACTATCGGAAGTGAATAAGGGGAGGTGATCAGTTTCTATTAGCCTTTTGTTGCACGTCGTCCTCTTTTGTCGTTCTCTTGTTTGAACCCAAAGTGACGTTAGTCTGGAAACGACATCTTGCGTCCAATCTCTAAAACCGTTGAATCACTTCTCAAATTGTTGCCAACAAATATATAGCCTTATATTACATTTAAAGAAATTAAATAATGAAGAATCTGCATGAACATATGTATGTTTCTCGCATTGTGAAAAACAACGGTACCTGGAGCTATCAAGTTTTAAGTTACGTAGTCCTCCACCCGAATGTAGGCACTTGGAAGACCGAATTTTTAATTTAGAAATTGTTTTATTACCTATATCATATTTTGTAAAACTTTTAGGAATGTTTGATTAAAAAACTAAAAGATTCAAAGCTAGCAGTGGCAACAGTGTACTGAATAAAACATTTTTATCTCCAGTACGCGAGACTGGCTATCGGAAATTTTAAAGATATGTTTTCTTTAAATACTTTTAGTCCAAAAGAGAGTTAGCCTGCTCTGAAATATGTGTGTGTGCGTAAATGAAACGTAGGGCTCTTTGGGCATAATATAAAATACGAAAGCTTTCAGATTTTTTTTTACATATTTATTTTTTTCCTAGCCCTAAATTGATTATTAGTATCGAAATGGGATTTTGCATCGGTTTGTTATAAGCGACGATCTACCAAATATTTCGCCCTGTATCATTAAAATAATATTCAATAATGAAGAACTTGCATTTGAGCCACCAAATTTCGAATAACAGAATTCTCCACCCGAATATGTGCACTTGGAAGATCGAATTTTGTATTGCATATTTTCGATTAACAAACTCAGTCATTTGAAAGCAGTGGCAACACTGTACGGAATAAAACATTTTTATCTCTAGCGTGGGAGACTATCCATCGGAAATTCTATGAACATACTCTTTTTAAATATTTTGTGATTTTGCTGTTGAATTGAAATTTATGTGGCGTAAATGAGACGAATATGATATCTAATGAATAAACTTACCACAAAAGCATTAATGTAAAAAGACAAAAAAGTTTTGTAACCCATCTTGCTAGGAAAACTTATCATTAATATGATAAACCGAGAAAAGGATTCTAAACATATGCTGCCACGCAATTTTCAGAAACTTGGTGATTTTATTGCTGAACTGTAAGTGGCGTAAGTGGAAAGAAAACGATACTTAATAATAAAACTAAAAAGAAATAAAAAGGTGTGTAAGCAGGGGTGAGTACAAGAGCAAACTGGTAGACTGCGAGCTCAACGTGAGCACATAAAACCTTAACTAACTTTCATGGGTTACCATTAAAATCTTAAACCTTTCAGATTTTTATTTCGTTTTTTAATGTTGTGGTTGTGTTATGTGTTCGTAAGTGCATGATTAAAAATTTATTCATTTCTTATTCCAAAACGTGAGTTCAGCAATTTGTTGGACATAAATAAAAAAATCTTATTGTATCTGCATAGCCTTTGTTGGAAAAACGTGACAGACGGAAATTCCTTTACTTGTATTAGAGCAAATACCTATTTGGTTAGCAGAAAAAATAAAGCTTTTATGTCGAATTTTTTGAATATCCTAATGGACTGAATTTTAAATCAGTCACGATATTTGCAGTTTTAGTAACTTGAATGAAAAGAAAATAGTAAAACAGGAAACATTCCATTTCTTCAAATTAAAACAAAATTGATTTAAAGATTAATGCCATCAAAATGTCC